CCCCACATATACATTTGTATATAATTTGAATTTTTGGAAACTTTAGCTGTACTACCAATATTGAAAAAAATCCCAATTTACTATATTGAGTTGGCATTAAACAGAAATTAACAGCCATACTGGTCTAGAAACTAAACTTTACCATTTATACAGGGTAACACAGTGTATTAAGTATATAAGGTCTTATCTACATGGGTTTGATTACACAGTAAGATATTCTCCAAATGAAGGAAAAAGGGGGCAAATATATCCACATCATCTTGCTGTTCTTTTGTTGTTGATGATGGCTGGTGCTGAGGCAGGCCCACGGCCACTGAGGTAGTTACTCCATGGGAAAGAGCACAGAAGTAGTCTGATTGGGTCAAGGAGTTTCCTGAAAGATGGAACTCGTCTTATTCCAAGTCCTAGCACAGCACATGGCACATAACTGGCCGGGGAGCACCCAGGAAGCATGTGTGGAATAACAGATGCTCTAAGGGATTCAGGCCTTGGCTTTTTCTTTTTTATAATTTGGAGAAAGAATACGAGCGGGAACTAGATCTGTAAACATTACAGACTGACAGATCCCTGACAATGCTGTCCCCTTCTTGGCCTGCACCTCACCCCTCCAGGGTACGTCAGTCAAGGCTCAGAACTGCCCAGGTGTTCAGCGAAGTGGGCTGTGTGATGATGACACGCGTAGAGAATGCGCTGAAGGAATGCCTTTCATTTAGACTAGCTGGCAAATGGAATGCCAGACAATTGTTACAGGCAAATCAAGTTTAAAATTACTTAAAAGATTTTCCTAAGAAGTTGGGAGGACAAGTCAGGTGGCTTGTGGTTGAGGCAGCTGGACTCCCACATGGCTAATGAAGGTTTTAAGCACCAGAGTCAATGGTTGAAAATCATGCCAGGTGTGTGTGTGTTCATCCCAAGAGGAGAATGGAGAAGAGACTGCAGCATGGCCGTGACCCTGTGGGGTGACTTCTCACTCCCTCCTCGCCTTGGTGAATGCACATGTCCTATAGCAAAAGTTTAAAAAAAAATGTTGAGAGAAAAGGTCTAAGTACACTGATTTTCTGAAGTGCATTTATTAAACTTTTTATTTAAATGTACTCACCAATAATATTTATTAGCTTTGGGGCAATAAGCTATGAAATGTTTTGTTAAAGATGATGATAGAGGGCCAGTGGGTAGCACTGTTGTTAGGGCAGCTGGATCTCACGTGGTTTACTATGCGGTCAAATCCTAGACCCAGTAGCTTGAAAAACATGCTGATATGTGTGTGCACATGTCCAAAATCCTGATAGGAGGAAGAACTGGAGAAGGGTTATGGCATGACCATGCCCCATGGGCAGTGATTTCAGGAGGAAGAACTGGAGAAGGGTTATGGCATGCCCATGCCCCATGGGCAGTGATTTGTTTTCTCTCTCTCTGGTGAGTACATGCACTCTGTGGTATTTTTTTTTTTTCATAGGGTACATGTGGTTGCTAGAGAGAGACAAAAACAGAGAGAGGGAAAGTGAGAAATTATCCCCCAGAGGGGATGGCCATGCCACAATCCCTTCTCCATTCTCCTCCTTAGATTTTGGGCATGCATGCACATGTGCCTGGTGTGATTTTGAAGCTGCCAGGTCTGGGACTCAAAATGCAGTTGGCCATGTGGGAATCTTGTGTCTTAACCACCATACCACCTGCTGGCACAATTATTATTATTATTTGAAGTAACAAAGACTGGCTGTGTGATGCAGCAAGAACGTACTGTCTAAGCAATGTAAGATCTATATGGAAGATCATGAGTTCGGTTCCCTAGTTGACCTACAAATGCTGAGTTCACGTGGCAATGATGCTGGTTGGGAGGCTTGTGTGTGTGTGTGGTGGGGGAGTTGTATTGCAGTGTGAGACCCTGTTGAGGGGTCTTGTTTCTCTTTCTCTCATGAAATAAGCTTTTTCAAAAAAGAAAAGCAATATTAAAAAGATTGGAACCCTGATCCTAATTTGTTCCAAGGCCTTCCATTTGAGCTCATTAAGCAATCAGAAACACTGATAAATATCCATTCTTCCATTTAGACATGTTTAATCTCAGTTTAGTGAAGAACTACTTCCTCCAGCCAGCCAGTATAACTAAGTAGCATTTAAAAACACCAAAAATATGTGGAAGTGGGAAATTTATAGATTTCTCAATTTCTTTCAAACTGTATGCAGAAAATTGAGGAGACAGTGCCTGTAGTGCTGCCAACTCTGTGGGTATGACGGAGAGAGACAGTTATGGGTCTCTCTTCCTACTGCTGTCAGTGGTTGAAGTAGAAACCGGCCTGGTCATAAAAGGCGATGATTTCAGAACCCCCCCATAGGTCACAGGAAGATATATTTTAAGATCCCCATTAATTATAGAGCGAAATAGCTCCCTGCTTGGCTGGGATTGTTTCAATTTGAGGAGGTGTCTCAACAGTGTGTTCACAGGTGAGGTAGTTGTTATTATGTAACTGTACTTCCTGAGGGCATGGGGTATGAACTACTCACCCACCAGTTTTAAAATGTACCAAGCACACACTCTACAGAGCAGGTAAAGGAAAAGCTTCTCTGAAGACAAGCTCAGAAACTTTCTCTGAATATTTGCTTAATATTTACGATGACTAATTGGGGGAGGGCTGGCGTCTTTACAGGTGCTGCTTCTGCTGCAGATAGAGCTCAAATTCTTTTTTTTTTTTTGGAGAGGTTTTTGCTATAGGGTGCGTGTGCTCGCCAGAAAGACAGAGAGAGACAGAGAGACAGAGAGACAGAAAGTAAGAAATTACCCCCCTAGGGGGGGATGGCCATACTGCAATCCCTTCTCCTCCATTCTCCTTTCGGGATCTTGGGCACGCACGTAGGTGCACCTGGCGTGAGTTTAAGTCACCGGGTCTGGGACTCGAACCGTGGTTGACTACATGGGAGTCCAGTGACATAGCTATTACGCTAAATGCTGGTCCATCAAATTCTAAGTTCCCGTTCTAAAGGCAACCAACTCTGTTTCACTTAGGAAAACAGAAGAGCACTCTAATAAAGCCTATCCTTTACAATCAAATTTCTCCTTTAAAAGTAGGACTTCGTGAGGCCAGCAGGTGGTGAGGTGTTAAGGTGCTGCTGGACTCCCACATAGCTGACTGTGGTTCAAGTTCTGGACCTGGTGGCTTGAAAATCACGCTAGGTGCGCGTGTGTGTGTGTGTGTGTGTGTGTGTGTGTGTGTGTGTGTGTGTGTGCGCGCGCCCAAAATCCTAAGAGAAGAAGGATTACAGCATAGTTATCTCCCTGGGGGGTGTGATTTCTCACTTTCCCCTCTCACTGTCTCTATCTGTCTCTCTTCCGAGAGCCCGAGCCCTATGGCAAAAACCTAAAACAAAAACAAAAACAGGACTTCGCAGGCCCAGCTACTGTAGTGCAAGAGGGAAAACACAACTGTACGGTGACTGATGCTCTGTGGGTGGCCTGGGTTCAGTCCTGGCCCAATCCGAAGGCCAGGCCCAGTGATGTGTGCCTTTGGAGGCTGGGGCAAGAGGATCACATGGGGAGACGTTGTCAAAAATACCTACTTCTCTCTCCTTCCCATTCACACACCCTCGTTAACAACAACAACAAAAAGACTGGAGAAAATTGCCTTCAGCAGTGAACACACAGCAGGTCAATTTACCTATCCCAGGGCAGATTAGTTTGATCAGATTTCTCTGACAGAATTCCCCGGTCCAGAGCACTGCCTTCGTAGTGTCTTTTAATGGTCTCCATCTTAAAGAAAACAGATCCCTGTACTCTGTATCACCGGTGCACTCAGTGCATGGTGCAAGGACATTTCTGACAGGAGGCTATGGATGAGAAGAGAGCTGTGATGGAATTACCTCCTGAACAACCACACTTTTCTAAATCTAAACATGAATAAAGGGCTGGCTCTGTAGCACAGTGGTTAAGTGCTGTGTATAGAGAAATGGCTCCCACATGGCCACCTGCAGTTCAATTCCTGGCCCCAGCAGTTTAGAAAACATTCTGGGCATGTGTGTGTGCTCGAGATCCTGACAGGATGGAGAAATGGAGGAAAATGGATAGTGGTGTGTCCCATGGTGGGGCAAAATCCTGAAAGAAGAAGGGGTTATGGCATAGCCATCTTCCCTGGGAGGTGTGATTCCTCACTTTCCTCTCTCTCTGTTCCTATTTTTCTTTCTTCGGAGAGCACGAGCCCTATGACAAAACCCTAAAACAAAAACAAAATAAACTAAAACATAAACAGGACTCTAGTGAGCACATGCCATCTCTGGCAATTAAAAAAATTAATAAGTGAATAGTACTTCCTATTTCCAACTTCCTGCTGTAGACTAGGTGCAAAATATGGGAAAACTCCCTACTGTTGTCAATTTCCATTAATCTCTGAGATAGTCTTGAAGTCTGGGAATATGTTTCTAATTTTTGTTTTACTTTTCAAAGCAGGATAGAACTTTAGTTCTATAAGAGTGCTGACCTGACAAACAGGGAAACAGACCCTGGAGGGTCATTTTCTCAAGGCCACATGGGTGGCCAGTGACAGTAGCGGGCCCGGAGCCTGGACCCCGGCTCCTCACTGCAGCCCACCTTCTTCCTGGAGCCTGGACCCTGGCTCCTCACTGCAGCCCACCTTCTTCCGACTATAGGCTGCTCTCTGGCCCTCATCTCAGGCAGTGCTGCTGGCTCAGTGCACATCAATAGCAGACATTTCTGACAAACCAAATGTTCAGAAGAAGCCCCTTTTTCGTACTAGCCTTCCTTTTTCTTTTGATGGCTCTAGAAGAAACTCCAGTCTACCCTCTCCTCTTTAGAAAAAAGTTAAGAAAATATTCCAGATTTATAACCAGAGTGTAATGCAAGAAAAATAAATCCAATGGATGGGTATTTTGATTCTAAGTAGCTTTAGAAGCTCACCACCAAACTTTTAATAACAAACAAAAGAGGTGAGAGGAAGTACTCAGCGTTAAATAAATGGCCAAACACATTTTTCCAAATACTCTCACTCATGGGGTTTGATTTCTAAAAGCCAAATTTAATAAATTAACAAATGCATGCCAGATAAAAATACAAAATTACAACTGAAAACCAATAATTTAACAGAAAATGCTCTGTGTTGTACATTTTTTTATTGGTATGGATAACTTATTAAAGTAACGAACCTGAAAACACATTTTGCTTTTGCCAGGAAGAGCTATGTTAGAGAAGAACTAAGAGAAACCAGAAAGAAAGCACTGGCAGACAGTAGGCATATGACATCGTCTATGGCGATGCAAGGGGGAGGTGCTATTCTCCCGCCCGTGTGTGCATGTGTGTGCAAGCGTCAGGAACCGAGGACACAGACCCTGAAAGCAAAGTCACGACAGGCTCACTCTGTGAAACATGCTGGGTCACAACCACAGACTACCCAGGACGGAGAGGCGGTGCGGGTGCAGGCTTGCTGTTTGCTCGTATGGGGTTTCCTTGCCAAACAGGAGGCTAATCATGCAATAGCTTGAGTTTCTCTTAACATGATAAACACCCAGGATTACTAGAACCGGAAAGTGTGTTCACTGTTTTACGAGGAGAGCTGAGCGGTGCTACAGAAACAACAGAAAAGTTCCTTCATTTTTATCTGGTTATATGCCCAAACCTCTAACTGAGAAATAATTCAGCTACAGGAGCCAATTAAATTACTATAAAACATTCCTTCATCTGTAAAACATTTCTTCTCCCCTCAAATTAAAAATTTAAAATAAAATGTCTTCATTTTTGATCAGCAGCTCCACCACCAGTCTCTGATACCGAATGTCATTCAATGCAGCCATCGCGTCTAGTTCTGGAGATCTCATGAGGGTAGGGCCAAAGACGATCCCGAGGTTCTCTGCGTTCATCAGGTTCTCTTTCTCATGCAGGGTCACTCTGAAACACGCAAGTAAAGGAACACATGACCTTGAGGGAGCCATGAGCTTCTTCGCCATGCTGGAGCACCGACACAGAAACACGACTGACAAGGGTCTGTGACCACCTTCCAGCCCTTCTGCCAGGTCATTTCTCTGTACTTTCCCACAACTTCAAAGTACTGACTTTCTGTGAAGTAAATTATAACTAATAAATAATTTCAACTTTTGCATGACTTGTGAGTCAAGCCTGAGTTCAAGCCTAGGTTCTCTCTGTGGATCCTCTTGCCACAGCCTGTAGCCACAGGGTGTGTGTGCAAATAGTAGACAAGGGACGAGGCCACCTTGACTATGCTGCTTGCCCTCCCCACCCCCCCAACCTGGCTATCTTCTACGGAGTATTTCTGTACCTTGAATAGTTTGTCCAGGGAGAGCACGGTGGGAACAGGGATTGAAAATGGGTCAGAGTGACCAACACCACCAGGGATTCTGTTCCGTTTACTGCTACAGCAATAGCATGGAGACTATAATTTGAGAGTGATCCCTTTGTGTTAGTGTGGAGCATTTAATTACATACAATGGTGAAGCACCTTGTATTTACAAGTGCAGTTGTGAGCATATTAAAGTTTTTGACTCAGGGCATTTTTAAAGAGGGAAAATCAACATCCATGAGGACTAAAACATAATTTCTGTATAACTCATACCTCCAGGTATACACAATATTTTTTGATTGGTTCTTAAAAACTTAGTCCTATAATTATGAAATCTTTTTCCAACTGGTAGGAAGAGAGGGTTACCAAGAACGTTTATATCACAATCACTTCAACTTTTTTTTTTTAAATTGTGCATGTGCTCACCAGAGTGAGAGGGAGAAAGCTCTTCTCAGTGGGGTATGGTCATGCCATGACCCTTTCTCTTCCATTTCTCCATTCTGTTGGGATCGGGGCACACACACACATGTGTTCAGCATGTTTTTCAAACCATTGGGGCTGGGACTTGAAGCAGGGTTGGCCATGAGGGATCCATTTCCCTTAACCAGTAGGCCACAGGGCCAGCCCCTCTATTTAAAACATCTATCCCTCCCTTTACTCTTTACTTTAACTCATCACCTTTTATGCCAGTTTTCAGCACTAGCAACATTAATTCAATAACCTAAAATTCCATCAACAAGTCAGAAGTGCTTATTTTGGAGTAAGAAGATAAGAAAAGTGAGGTGTGAGTTGCTTTGCTCTTGCTTCATTATGTAGGTGCTTTCATAGCTAAAGCCCTTCCTTTCCACAAAAATTAATGCATGTCTCAGGAGACTATTAATATTTCCAGCACATTTTAAAACATACTAAAACTAAAAATACACTTATGCGAGAATCAGGTCTGTGTTTAGTATTGTAGTACAGAATATTTTTAGCATTCTTTGTCAAATAGTGCAATTTCACACAAGAAGACAATATAGTGATGTATTTATTTATTTATTCATCCAGTAGACTGGCTATCTTTTTTTCACCTTTTGTTTCCTTTTATTCTTGAAAATTTGGATGCAATGCAGTGTAAGACTCAGAGTCTACAACTTGCCTCTTTAGATGTGCCATGAGGTACCGGAGGGTTTCGCAGTGAGCAGGTGGCAGTAGTTTCAGTGCTTCATGAAGGGTTTCCAATTGCTCATCAGGATCCATGATTTCTAAAAGAGCAAGTTGAATACAAAAGAGAAAAGCTTTACCAGAAAATGGAACAAATGGCTCACTGAATCCTATTCTGTGGTGAGCTTCTAAAATTGGTAGGAAATGATTTCTGACTGACCCTTGCCTATAGGCTTGGAGAATATTTTTAAGATTCAAGTCCCAGATCTCCAAAGGTTCTTAGTTTCAATGTGACAATACTGTTTTCTTGGACTTTTGTTGGGGAGCATACAGTTTTTCCACTCACATGTCTTGGAATCTGGCAATCATGGAAATCAGGCACTGGATAGATACAGAGGATGAAACTACAGCAAAATTTTGGGGAGCATACAGTTTTTCCACTCACATGTCTTGGAATCTGGCAATCATGGAAATCAGGCACTGGATACAGAGGATGAAACTATAGCAAAATTCTGACACACACGTACATACAGATAAAACTGATACACTCGAATGGGATCACCTTAGAACATTATGGCCACACTTACAGGATGGTGCGTTTGTTGAAATGTTCTGAAAACCCTCTTTTAGCAATGGCATACAAGCCACGCCACCCACTGCCCCTGACAAAGTCCTATTGATAATCATACTTTCTTCTTTCTAAACCAAGACATGTATCTATCATACCTTTACTCGTTTTATTCATTAGACTTAATTTTGACTGATACACATACACTACCCTGAAAGCATAAATATTTTCTATTACTTCAGAAATTCAGAAGAATGCACTGCAGACGTTAAAGGCAATGCCAAATGTTTGGTGTGGTGGTGGCTTTCCTGAAATAAATAGAATTCTTCTGAAGGTATAAACCTTGAAGGGGACCATAATCATTTCAAGTGTTCAGTTCTGCTGTGTTGGTCAGATGGTCATCACATTCTCTTGAAGCCATAGGTTGAATTCGTCGATCATTTCAATGATCAGAAGTAATGGACATCTTTACAATTGTACTCTTAGAGGGTCACAGCACATTCCTATTTCTGCCCACATGTCAGAAGATGAGTGCCTTTACGTGTTCGGTTTTAGGGCACAGAGAATGAGGCTCCAATCTGCTGAGTTTGAACCAGGAAGTAGCCTGAAACGCGGGGAAAACTACATCTGACCACAACGTGACAGTCAAGATGAGATAAAAAATCCTAGTCTTTCTAACATATAAAATGAACCAGTTCAATGGTGATGTATTAGAATCAGGTAAAAGCTGGCAGAAGATGAAAGTGAAAATTTTCTGGCATTGGCAAAGCAGATTTGATAAATTTCAGAATGTAAACAGTGACTCAAGCTTTTTTTTAAAGAGAGATTTTTGCTATAGGGTGTGTGTGCTTGCTGAAGAGACAGAGAGACAGATGGTAAGAAATCACCCTCCAGGGGGATGGTCATGCCACAATCCTTTTCTTCCATTCTCCTCTTGGGATTTTGGGCACACATATATACGTGTCTAGTGTGAGTTTCAAGCTGCCAGGTCCAGGACTTTGGACTGTGGTTGGCTATGTGGGAATTAGCGACACAACCATTATGCCATCTGCTGGTCCCCAGTGACTGAAGCTTTTTTCTTTTCTTTCTTTTTTTGAGAGGTTTTTGCTATAGGGTGCATGTGCTTGCCAGAAAGACAGAGAGAGACAGAGAGACAGAAAGTGAGAAATCACCCCCTGGGGGAATGGCCACGTTACAATCCCTTCTCCTCCATTCTCCTCTTGGGATCATGGGCATGCACGCACATGCGCCCGGAGTGAGTTTAAGCCACCGGGTACGGGACTTGAACCGTGGTCGACTACTTGGCAGTTCAGTGATGTAGCCATTACGCCAATTGCTGGTCCCAAAGCTTTTTGCTTCAAAGAAACTTTGACCATTTTACTATCTCTGCTCAAGGCTTTCTCACAGTTCCTGCTTCATTTATTTGCAATAAAGAATGTATTATCTGTCTTTTGTAGTCATAAAGGACTGTAGCTAAGAAAGCACCCACATAATGAAGTGAGAGCAAAGCAATTCAAAATTGAAAAATGAGTAACTTAATTTCATTTAACTTCCACAACTAATCTTTGTAAAAAGAACCTTGAGATGCAAGGTGGTGTTGGTGGGCTACTAGCAAGTAAACGTCCCTGCTTATGAGGAACTTATTTCTACTGGAGGGTGACTGACAATAAACAAGAACGTGACATTTTATAGTTTACAGTGTATTAGAATGAGACAAGTGGCATTCTATAGGAAAAATACTGGCAGGATAAGAAGCACTGGAAGTGCTATGGGTTGCAGTTTTAAATGGGGAGTCAGGATAGACCTTAATGAAAAAGGAAGTTATTTGTTTAAGAGGTTTTTACCTTAAGGTATGTGCGCTCATCGGAGAGAGAGAGACACACAGACAGAAACTGTGAGAGAAAGTGAGAAATCATCTCCCAGAGGGGATGGCCACACTGCAATCCCTTCTCTTCCTGGGATCTTGGGCACGCACACACATGTACTCAGAGTGATTTCAAGCCACCGGATCCAAGACTTGAACCACAGTCAGCCATGTGGAAGTACAGTGATATAACCACTATGCCATCTGTTGGCCCCAAGAAAGGAAATTTTACGTGAAGACTCTGAAGGAGTGAGTGAATGGATCATGTGGGGATTGGGAGAAAGATGGTTCTAGGCACACGATGAGCCATACAAAGATTCCAAGGAATACTTGAGGATCCTGTAGCAGTAGCTGAGGAATTAGGTAGCCACATGTGGCTACAGTAGAGTAAGTTAAGAGGAGAGCATTAGGAGGAACAGTGAGAAAGGTAACAGGGTACTCAGGTTGGAACTGCAAGCTACTCTAAGAATTTGGCATTCACTGAGAGAAATGAGTAAGTTACGAACAAAGAAATGTTATGATCTGCATGTGTGTTTCACAGGTCTTGTCCTCTGAGTGCCAAATGGAAAACAGACTATAGGACAGGAACAGTTTTGCAAGACCATTGCTTGGATCAGGTGATAGCAGGGAAGGGTTTAAGAAGTTGCTAGATCCTGGGCATATTTTGAAGGTAGCACTCACAGGACTTCCTGATGAGGGATGTGCCAGAAAGAAGAATTAAGAATGATCCCAGGCCCAGTTGCTATGGGGCAACGTCATGCCAAGAGCCCTGTAAGGCTGGAAGCCATATGGTGACTAAGGGTCCTGATCTCAGAGTCAGCCTGAGAACACGCTGAGTAAACTTGGGTACCCAGAAGTCTGAGGAGCTGGAGGGCTGGGGAAAGGAGATCATGGAGTGATGAGACCATGTTGAGGGTGCTTTTCTCTTTCTCTCTCTTGTGCACACACATGTGTTCTCTATCATTAAAAAACAAAAAATTCAAGTTTTGGGCTTAGGTAACTGGGACGATGGAGCCTCCATGTGCAGAGACGGGAAGGACTGTGGGTGGAAGATGATTAAGAGTTCCATTTGAGACATCTCTTGTCTGATAGGAACATGCTGATATTGTGGATTAATGTGTTGTTCAGGGAGAGGATATTTATATCCCTGGGCTGAAGATATAAATTTGGGAACATGTGAAAAAATGTATTGAATATGTTGACATCAAATTGACAGGGATTCTTTTCCCTAGAATTCATTTCTCTTTTTCTCCCACTAACAGATGCATTACCCTATACCAGCTTTTTCTTTTTTTTTTAGATAACACAACTCTTTAGTCTTCAGAAGCATAATATTAAGAGTAAAACTGACAGAATAAAATGTATTCAGGCCTTTTTTATTTTTATGTTTTTTCCTGTGTGGATAGCACACCTGCAAACAGGGTGAACGTCCCTAAAACCTACCGGACTTTCTGTAAGAAGTGTGACAAGCACCAACCTCACAAAGTGACACAAAAGGCAAGGAGTCTCTGCATGCTCAGGGAAAGCAGTGTTATGACAGGAAGCAGAGTGGCCTTGGTAAACAGACTAAGGCCATTTTCCAAAAAAAGGCAAAAACTACAAAGAAGATTGTGCTGAGGCTTGAATGTGCTGAGCCCAACTGCAGATCTAAGAGGATGCTGGCTAGTAAGAGATGCAAGCATTTTGAACTGGGAGGAGACAAGAGAAAGGGTCAAGCGATCCAGTTCTAAGCTTCATCTTTTGCTTTATTATATTATTGAAGACAATAAAATCTTGAGGTGAATGTTCATCTCATTTGATTATAATTGGTCTTTTTGTGAGGGAATAAAGTAATCAATAACATTCCCATTGTGGGGAAATTTAATTGATGGTAAAGAAAAAAGTATTCGGAGATGAACCATCATTGTTGTCAAATGTGTGGAAGGCTTGCTTGTGGGAGAGTGGTGCGAAGACCACTGTTGGCTGGAGAGAGTTAAAAACAGGCAGGTCTCTGTTGCACACAAGCAGGGCTTCACGACCCTCACATCTGTCCACGAGTACACAGGCTGCCCACAGGAGCGGTATTTGCAGTTACTGAGTATTTCAAAAAGAATGTGTTATAAAAGGAGGTCTAGGGACCAGCAGTTAGCATAATAGCTATGTTACTGGACTCCCATGTAGTCGACCGTGGTTCGAGTCCTGGACCCAGTGGCTTAAACTCACGCTGGGCGCGTGTGCGTGCGTGCCCAAGATCCCGAGAGGAGAAGGGAGGAGAAGGGATTACTGCGTGGCCATCCCCCCTGGGGGGATGATTTCTCGCTTTCTGTCTCTCTGTCTCCATCTGTCTTTCTGGTGAGTGCACGTGCCCTATAGCAAAAAAGAAAGAAAAAAAAAAAAGAATGAGGTCTAGCTACAGGACTCCTTAGAATACGATTGTCTGATTCTCAATATGACATCATAAGTTTATTTATTCAGCAAGTATTTACTGCATACCTACTATGTCAGCAAAATCATCATGGGCACTGTGGGAAAGTAAGCACAAGAGAACGCCTGCCTTTAAGGCGATTCTAGTCTAGAAGGAAGACAAGTCATGACTTTCTCTTCCAGCCTGAAGGAAGGAGGCTGGCTGTAAAAAGGTTCAGGAGAAGGGGGACCGGAACTACGGAGAAAGAAGCCTGCAGCTGAGAGGTTCAGGACAGGAGGGTCTGGAAGGATCTGGAAAATGTGGACATGGTGAGGGCAGGAAATGAGCACTCTGTCCATCTCAAGATCTAATTAAGAGCTCTTCTAAATACAGTATGCCTCGTAAATTCTGTATAGAAAAACTCAACTGTAAGAATATAGCTTGGATAAGCAAAGGGGGTGGCTCAAGGAAGGAGTCAAGGAAAAACTCCCAAGTTCTCCTTCTTAGGCTTCTCTTCAGGAAATTTTAAGTTGCTTGCGACAAAGAACCCTGGGTTTTATTTGAGTTTATCTGACTCACTCAAAGATACACACTGACTGAGTCATATAGTGTTTCTAAGATCTAATGGGAACAGAGCTCTCAGATTCCTTGGCTAAATGAAGATCTCCTACACTAACTACTACCAGGAGCTGAACTCTAGTAGTGTTGTTCTCATGGTCAGGAAGCATCCATGAATGCCAGGTTACTGAACAGGCCCTGAGAGAAGCAGGTGCTCCTTCCAAGCTTTTGTACTCTAGGGCAGCAATGTCTTAACTGGTGGGGAGAGGGAAAGAAGGAGGGGTGAGTAGTCCTAGATTTCCAGGTGGGTTCAGACAGGAGTTTCCAAGGGCTTAGGAAGACAGAACCTTAAGATGGGATGAGCTGGCCTCCTCCACCCCTGCGTTCCTTTTTCAGTCTGTGTATGTAGCTAGCAGGACATAAAGTCCACCTTTTCTGCTGCAAGTTCTCCACGAAAGGCTGCCATAGCTTCTGCAGAACACCGTAATGCGAACGCCGATTGTCTGTTGGCCACGTGTACTAATAAATGCCAGAGATATTTTTAGGGGCTGAGAAAGTTTAAGCTGTACAAGGAGGGGCCATTAACCCTCCCCTTCCTTCTTCCTTTTTGTAAGTCTTTTGCTCCCTATTCCTTCAGGTACGCCAGGCGAAGTGGTGAGAGCTTTGGCATTAGACAGATGTGGGTCTGAATGCTAGTGCCACCAGCTCTAGTTCGTGACCTTGGTAATTTACTTATGCCCTATACATTGCCTTCTCTGCACATGGTATCATGGGTGTCAAATTCCTGCAGTGATTTACGGAACCTTGTACAAACTCTCTAAATGCTAACATCTCTCATCTTCCTTAGCTGCTTTTTAACAGGAAGGCTCTGTGTGTCTAAAGAGTGAAATAAACTCTGCTGCTAGAGAAGACATGGACAAGGACGCAATGTTATGCAGACAACAGTATCACCATCAAACAAGTGCAATCAACGCTTACATTACGTAGAACATCAGGGGTTTCGGTGTCACAGAAATCGCACGTGAAAATAGTTGGGATTACAAGAATTCATTTCTACCTTGATTTAGAAATGTTTCTTTCTTATGATGTAGTTTCAAGTGCTCTCTGAGGAATCAGATAAGCAGTTTGCTGATTTTAGATAGGAAGGCTGTTTTAGAAATAAATCCTGGGTGTGTGTAACTGCTCACCCTCTGCTGACAGTGCACCCCAGGTCAGGCACAGAGCCAAGATCCAGTTCTACTTCCCAGCAGCATGAGGTGAGAACACCAGACTATGGTCAATCTGGGGAAGAGCACAAACTGTGGACTGAGCAACCGTGAGTCTGAGGGTGTGTGAGGTGATTTCCAGATCAGTGGCAGTTGGACTTATGTCTCTCTCAGGAGGTAACGTCTGCCCCAAGAAATAAGAAACTGTGAGCTCCCCGAGACCACTGCCATGATCGGCATGCACCACTCCTACCGAGCAGTACTGGAAGCTTTCCTACTTCCTCACCCGAAACTCTGGGGAAATCAGTTTCATTTTTATGGCTGTCCTCCACATGGGAGTCTGAGATCACTGACCCACAAGAGATCAGGAATCTATGGAACTAACCACAAAAATTCTCAACAACAGTTCCAAATGGGGAACTAAAAATTAGAACAAAGAAAGTTTGTACCTCATGAAATTTCAAAGTCAAAAAGCAAATCAGTGTTACTAAGGAAGTGATGTCATTATTTAAAGATCAAGACAACATATGGTTTTAAAGAGAGAAGCACAATGACAGAAATAACCTATCTTTCCTAAAAAATTCATAATGTTAAGTTAAAATCTGTTAAGAATCCCCTTCTTTAAAAAATGAGGTGTGAATTAAAGGTATGATTTTTGAGGTATACATAAAACTTGGCAGGTAAGCCTTTGCTTTTCTACATTTTCATCTCAACTAGAAAATACGCGTGTGCACGTGCACACACACACACACACACACACACACACACACACAATGCTCTAATCTAAAATCGTGATCCTTGAAGTATGATATACAGACCAGTGTCAAGTTATGAACAGTTTGTTAATGGTCTGCATTAACTTACATATACCAGGGTAGATACAGAAATGAAAAATAAGAAGTTTAAAACTTTTATAGCAATAATTTGTGCTTGCTGAATCTAATAACAAAAGAGTTGGTTTTATTTTTTAGATATGAGTGTTCTAGTTAATTGTTTTTGATTTTGCAAAAACATTGGTCCACAAAGTAAGGAACACTTATATATAAGCTTTATGTAGAAAATAAGGTTTACCACATTAGAAAGAAGCCTCTGACGGTAGAAGTCATAAATAACCTATGTAGAGAGATTGCGAATTCTTGATTTATATTAACCATGGAGAGGGGTAGAGAAGTATTTTCATAAAATGTATTCAAGA